CGACTGTGCTGTGAAAGTGAAGTTGGCGGGAACAATGGCACCTTCACATGGTGTAGAGGGCGGAGCGTGATACTTCCTATTCTGAACGAGATATCGCGCTGCACCATGTGTTCGAATACACCGAACGCGGGCCCGCGGCCGCCTTATGGGTTTAAGCAGGCTCACCACTGCCAAAATTCTCCGGTTGCTTTGCGTCAAACATGTGAGCCGAACCAACAGCTGATCCTGCGGCAACCCATGCATGCCCATGGGCCAGGACAATAATAATGCTGGACGGACCATGAGTCTGCAGGAAGAGTCTGAACAAGAACTTCGTATGATTGTTGATCAGGGCTACAGCAAGCGAAGTAAAACCTCAAGCTCACATGTCAAACAGGATGAATTGTTGAGTCTCTCTATTTCGTGGTCCAATTGAACGAGCAAGAGTGCTGTACGATTGCTTGTTCTTGGACAGGGCGATCGCAGTGCTATGATCATCGTAGCAATTCAGTGACCACTGACTCCAGTCCCGTTTGCTCCAGCCGTGGACAAGTCCTTAGTAGCCAACACGACGACGTGGCGCTAAAACCACTGGTACTTAATCCCTGGCCAACAACTGTGATAGGATTTGGTGGAGGTTTTCACTTGGGAAGGGCTCAGGGAGTGCAAGACGTGATCATTAAGATGCATCTATGTGGCTCGAGACGAGAACTTAAAAGAGTGCAATTACGGTGAATGCCGCCGTTGTCAAGAGGTGACACACAGCCTACTTCAAGTTCAGCGCTGAGCGCTTCAGCACCTTTCCAAGTATATTCTAACAAAGCCAACTATGTACCAACTGCTGATTAAACGACCACCAGAACCCAAAATCATAAACATTAATAATTATTCCGCACCAACAAAACTTGAATCCCCTCAGGCATGATAAACACGCCCCCTCTGAGACCGAAACGCATTACCGATACTCTCATACGCCGGGGGCGCTTCGCCAACCTCGCTCTCCATTCCCGACATTAGGCGTTCATACTGCGTACTCCGCCCCACAAGTGTTTGCACGAGCATCCTGCTGTGCCCCACCGTTGAGTGATGCTCTGCAGACGACACGGTGGAGTCGATCGAGACTACGCGGTTCAATGAGACGGGCGTGTGCAGTTCGCTATCGTTCGGACCGCAGTGTGAACTGTGCGAGGCCTGGAGGTCGCATGGACAGGATACACGTTTCCTATTAAAGTCGCGTTCTAGCACCTCGTAGTACCTGGGTAGAGATGTCCACGCTGGGGTACAGTGACACTGGAAACACGTCTTTTCAATTGAAATGGAATATATGCAAAGAGCTTACGGATAAGATGCGCACAGGCGTTTGGATTTGGATATCAAATAACTTCGTCTTCTTTGTCTGCGGGTCGGTCGCCCCGTCATCGCCACGCTCGACGCGAATGACAATCTTCAGTGTGTGATGGACAGTGACGTTGCTCTTTTTGTTCCGATTGGAGAAATGGATGAGGGAACAGTGTTGAGGAAGCTGCACTTCGTGGTGGAATGACCATGGCCCTGGACCCATGACAGCCATGGCCATCTCGTTCTCGTCGTCATGAGCGTTCAGGAGTTGGTAAAGAGGTGACTTTCGGAATGCTTCCGGGTCGTCGGAGATGAGAGGGAGTAACGGGTGGCTCTCGCCGTCAATCTCGTTTTCGAGTGAAAGCAAAGTTATTCGGTGTGTGGGCTGTGAGCGCACGGTCCGCCTCGTTGGTGTATGGTACTCAATTCGTTCTGCACAATTCAGATTCCACAATAGGCAAGCACAACTGCAGCTACTCACCGTCGATATGGACAGATATTCGATGCACTTTGGCTTTCGTGAAAGGGATAATCGTGAGATCAATGGGTATGGTGCCGCCAGTGGGAAATCTGCGTCCCGATATTGCTATCAAATACTGCAGCTGTGACTCCCACTGACGCTCGATGATGATGTTGTCCGAGTCCTCAGTATCCTCTTCACAAGGTGCTGCAACTACAAGGACGTCGCGTTGTGCAGTCAGCTTTGCTGTGAACGCACCGGGTCGGTGAACTTCAGCCTTCAGTCTCCAAATCATGGTTCCGTAATCGCATTCGATAGTGGGAGGCGAGTTATTTGGTATGGTAAATGAGATGGGATAGGTATATGTTCCTTCAAGCGAGGGTAAGCACGCACCCGCGCGAAGCAATATGCATCAAAACTCACCTTTCTTGAATTCCTTCCAACCCTCCCCCACTTCTTTATGTTCTTCCTCCAGCCCCAAGAGTTCTCCTACCTTTCCCAAAGCAGAATGATGCTTATATTTATCACTTTCATGTGAGGGCTGCTCCGGCAACTTCCCCATTCCCCTGTCCAGCGTCCTCCCTCGTTCGCCATCGCGGTTTATACTCTTGCTTCTCCTTTGTGATTCAGCACGCGGGGAACGCGACCTCACACGCTCAACCATCGTGTCGATCACATTGGCAACAGCGTAAAACGAAAACCGGGAATGCTTTCTTCCGCGATCCTCGTGCGTTGCTGCTGCATTTGAGACGACGCTTGGACTCTGCATTGGACTCTGCGACTCTACAGGAGATGTACGCGTGCGGGAACTGAATCGAGATGTATGTCCAGACAACTGTTCGTTTTCAGAGATGTCTTCAATACTTGGTCGACGTGAGAGGGAAATATCGCGGTGAGAGTATGTGCTTGACGCAGAAGAACCGACGGTGGGCGCATGGAATGAGCCACGATGGCCTGGACCTATAAGGTGTATGGACATAAGCAATCAAAAGCAGTAGGTGATGACCTACTGGGTTGGCCTGCCTCTATATTATTCATGAACGCCCGTCGAAGGTCTTCGAGCGTTTGGGCTGGACTGTCTTCTGGTTTGGGGTGACTAGAAGATTGAGAAATCGAGCCCGAGTGCGAGTGTGAGGGCGAGGGACGACGATCTGCAATAACCGAAGAGGAGTTCAAGGGTGGGCTATAAGGGGGAGTGGGAGGAAAGTGGCTAGTGTCTTGGTAGTGAGGTGTGCATGACTGTCGCGTTGCAGAATAGTGTTATCACTGAAAGAACGTCCACTTGTTGAGGAAGAAAGTTGGCGCGGATCCATGCTAGCGCTCCTGGTGTTGAATACTGGACTCGGAAAGCCATTTGGATGAGGCGCGTGTTGTGGAGATGGAACGGAACTGTACTCCCCGGGGTGATGGAGTTCATCATAGGTGTGGTCGTGGTCGTAGTCACGGTCTGGAAGACCAGGGCCAACTGAGGCAGTACGTCGGGCAGACGGCGACGATGCCGCTTGGAAGAAAACGGTAGATGCAGTAAACACCTTGTGCTGCTCTGTCACCTCTATGCGACGCGCACCAACCCCTATGAGGACATGAAGGATCGCTTTAAGTTTCTATGAAATCGAGGTACACGCACCTTCGAACGCAGAAGTGGTAGCTTTCCCCTGCAGTTCGATCTCGATGCTGGAGATGCGAGTGGGTTTCACAATGTCCAGGGTGAGCAATCCGCGAACAATCCCAGGCGCTGCATTGTCCTGGTTGTAGTCCCGACCAGTAGGATTGGAAGTGCGCAGGAAGACGACAGATTCAGTCAACCTGATGCAGAGAGTGTTCTTCTCGTGCTGGATGCGATTCTGAATCATTTTATCAATTGAGCATGTGCTTCCTGATGCTGCGTTCTGGGATGGGCAAATACGATATGTCACGATACGAATTCGGTGAGCTAATGAGATCGGCACCTCAAGGCTAAATGTAATCAGTGTTCTGCAAGAACTTTGGAGTGAAAACCAACGTATAATAAAGGAGTTGAACAGACAGTGACTCGTTGAGTGCCTAGCTACGGATGCAGACTCGACTCGAAAACTTTGACAACCGTCCGGACTCCGTGAAATGTTTCGGAGTTCAAGACAGGGACATTAATAAAAGTGTGAGTCTTACATCGGATTCAAGATCCGCGTTATCGGCCGAGTTGCATGATTATGCAGTAGTGCGAGCTGCCAGTCCCAGATTGCTTCATTTCATTCCTTCCCCTCAACGCTTGTGCACAACGTTCCATGATCCGTGCAATACAAAGATCTCTACAGACAATACAGAGGAACGGCCTTCCGCTCAACGCCATCCATTCAGTCCTATTCATGTAGAATCTCGTTGGCTTTAGTTCTGTCAGTCCGCCCAACGCCTTTTGTGTTTGCAAGCCATCGAGGTCGCCCTAAGTATCTTCAATCATTTGACCGGGCCATTCCACATTCCCTATTCACATGCAACGCAATATCAGTTGTCAGTCACCTCCACGTCTTTCTTGACGCGTGCAGAGGATCAGTGGCAGCCAAAGCGTTGGGCGGAGAGTGGGAGCTGACAGTGCACTTAGGTTATCCGCATGGGACGAAGGTGTATGAGAGGATCAGCATTTAATGTGGGTATAAGAGATGAATGCATGGCCGAAACAACCGCACTAGGTTGATGGGTAAGGTGCTGGAACACAATACAGTGCGTGTATAACGCCATCTCGAAGCGAGCGCGTGAAAATAAGATGTTATCCTGTCTCAGGCGTACCAGAACAACAGAAGTGGCATTCCCGACAGAGATCCGGCGGGAGGAAGGTAGATTTAGCAACTCAAGGTGTAAATTGCAACTACGCACAGAAAGTAACTGCCGTGGCAAAAACATCGTAGTGATACATACATTGAAAGGATCATAAAAATTGGGTATGAGCGTTTCGTGTGGAACATCATGAAGTGGACAGTCAACTAATCATCAAGTGCGCTTCGCGAAAACGGCGACATGATTGCGAGAGATCTGAGGAAAGGAAACAGTGGGCAAAAAGTGACGGCGACTTACAACAAGACATGGCTTACATAAACGTCAAAGGTGAATTATTATGGAAAGCCGGACGCGCGCGCTCCGCTACACGACGTGACATGCACCAAATGAGGCAGTCACATGGTTGGGACACCGGACACTTCGAACACAAGAAAATTGTATAGTACCATATATCAGTCCGACGAGCATCAATCTAATTTTCTACAACTACTTCATTGTCATTCGCAGCTACTTCATTGTCATTTGCAGCTACTTCATTGTCATTCACTTCCTTCGCAAATGTTTCCAGCCCAAACCATTCACAGTACTCATTGCAGGCATGCTGGTCTTCAAATTTGCTGACAGATGTGTCAATATTTCCCTCACCAAAAATATCACATCCATTGCTGATCGACCTATCCAAACATCAGTATTGAGTATCTGAATGGATGAGTCAGGATCTGAGGATCTGTGAGTAGTACTGTGCTACCTGAATACATTGTGTCATTCCAGCTGAGGATTGAATGTATCACTGAATCAGACATACCCTGATAGTCAGATATGAAAGCTAGCTTGCTGGTCTTGATGTACTGGACATGCTGCATGAAAACAAAAAACTCTGCCATGTCATAACCATGGTCCAATTCATCAAGCAATGGATTGGCATCCATATTGTGGATGAATTTGACAAACATATCATCATTGCCCTCAATGAGCTCTTCAAGGAGAAAGATAGCCTGTGTTGACCCTGTCTTCACTCCAGGCTTGCTACCACCCTGATTGTGGCACAATGCAAGGCCGGCTTCCACAAATTGAACATGTGGGACCATGAATGGTGGGGGTTCAGGCCCAGTGAAACCTGGTTATGTTGGGATGAGCCTCGATAGGTTGAGATGTGACTTACTATATATGTACTGTGATGAGATGTGCTGATCATGTAGTCTATGTTTTTGTGATAATGACTTGATAATGACACATTGCATTGCCTTGTCGTGCATCATTTCATACAAGAATCATTTGTCAATGTGTTGCATTGCACATTGCTTTGTAACATAACACACCATCAAAACCACTTTGTGCCACTGCTTCACACACAACAACTTGAAGGTATATACCACTAACATTTATGTTCAAGCTCTTGGGCTAATAACTTGCGCTTGAACATCTAGTAGTAATGTTGCCTGGCTCGGGTCTCCGGGAGAACAAGTTTGAGTGTGTCTGCACCAAGTATGGGTTTGGCAGGCCACACCCAGTTCCCAGGTTGACGTGGTACCAACATCTTCAAGAGGCTAGTTTGGAGGAGGAGAGACAGAAAATTTGACTTCATAAAGAAGGTAATGTGTCAATACAAACATCTACTTCTGCTACTAATAACCCTGCTATTGTAGATGGGCAACTTGCTAATCAGAATAATGCCTCTGGTTCCCAGCTTCCTCCTGGTGCTTGCCATGCTGCTACAATCAGAGCACTCACCAAATGAGCCCAAGATAATAGTGACAACAGTCATATTGGCTGGCGAAAACACGTGAAAATCATACCAGTGGAGCCACCACAGTCTGGCTGCCAAACAGGCAGTGCTGATGTGAATATCAACTATAATTTTGATGACAAAAACAATCTGGTATGGTTTTTCTTAGCTAGTGCATCTAGCTGATACTTACCATTACTATATCAGATAAATTATGATGTTTGTTTGCATGAACCATCTCCTCATGAACCATCTCCTCCTTGCAAGCCATCTCCTCCTCGGGAACTATCTCCTCCTCATGAGCTATCTCCTCCTTGTGAACCATCACCTCCGCCTCATGATATTGAATTTGAATGGAGGAAAAGGCCTGATATAGATCTTGAGGTGCTTGCACAGAGTGTGATTCTTCCAAAAATCAAGGAGGCAATGGAGTTTGTACTTAGCTTACAGAGGGTATCTCTAACCAACTTGCTTGCACAAATATGTGAAGATGCACTTGTGAGAATTCATGACCCACCATGAGCTCCAATCAACATTGACCATCCTGGTATTCAGCATAGCATCTCCATGTACTTAGCACTTGAACATGCATTGCAGGATGCATACAACTGCATTTGTAGATCCACCATGTGTAATTTCACAGGAGCTGACGAAATCTTAAGCTTCCATGCCATTGAAACACTTATCTCACAGTATACTGGGGTTGAGGCAATTGAACACAACATGTGTTCTCAGTCATGCCTGGCATTCATGGGTCCCTTCACAGACCTTGAAAACTGCCCTATGTGCAGGACATGTCAATGGGACCAAGCAAAGCTGCATACAAGCAACAGATGTATCAAGGTTGCCTCTCAGAAGTTTGCTACCATTCCTTTGGGTCTGCAGTTACAGGCACTGTATCACCATCCTGACAGCACCCATAACATGTGCTATCTTCATGAACAAACCCAGGAAGTTCTTGCCAAGCTATGAAGAACTGGGACCATTCCTATCATTGATGATATTGCCATGGGGTGGGATTACCTTGGTGCTGTTCTTGATGGAGACATCAAACAGAATGATATCATTCTGATGGTCTCTCTCGATGGTGCCCAACTGTATGAGAGCAAGCAGTCAGACTGCTGGATGTATATTTGGGTCATCCTCAATCTCTCATCTGACAAGTGCTATTGAAAACTACATGTCCATCCAGGCAGCTTCATACCAGGCCTGAATAAACCAAAAAAACCTCGACTCTTTCCTCATTGTGAGCATGCACCATCTTGCAGCTCTCCAAAATGAAGGTCTTACTGTTTGGGATGCCTCCATGATGTTTGCTTCATATTAGATCTACATCTTCTCTTTATGACAGCCAATGGCCCTGGACTAGTATATTGGAATGGTATGGTTGGACATAGTGGTAAAAATGGCTGCCACATGTATTGTGGAGTGACTGGAAGATGAAAAACCTGAGGGACTCACTACTACCCTGCACTACTTAAGCCATTGGATCACTGTGCCACTGGCAGTGATCATGCTGATATCAACATCTTTGCAATCCCACTTGGAGGATTGGAGGAGTATGCAGACAACTTGCATCACCTTGTCACATCTCCTACTCAGCACCAATGGGAGATTCAGAAGACACAGATGGGGCTTACAAAACCTCCATTAATTCTTGGTCTCAATCCCTCACACTGCCTTGGTGTCCCTCACTGCATGATGACAGATATCATGCATCTTGCTGGAAACCTTAGTGACCTATTAATTGGTCTCTGGCATGGGACCATTGACTGCAGTCAGAGTGATGATGTGGACGAATGGGAGTGGGCCATACTCCAAGTCAACACTCTTCTTTTGGTAATACCAGAGCTTGATGAAGCTCCAAAAGGTCTCCCCAATGGTGCTGTCAACATCAGAGATGGATATGCCCTACTTCACAAATGTGATAGATCTGTTGCATATCCTGTTGGTGACCATGCAGTAGCCATTGCAAATTTTTTGGGTAATGGGCAAGTTGTCCCTTGCATTAGATAGGCAAGCATGGTTACTCCTCCCAAATGGACAGATCACATAATCACATTGGAGAGAGGCACTTAAACCTCTTGAGAAGACATGAATGTCACATAATGTAAAGGTGTGCTTTGGTTGTAAATTATTATACCTTGCTGCACCTTACTGATCCACTCACTATAGCTACAACTCAATGGCCAAATATGTTACAGTGAAGTTGTATATTTCATGAGGTTGGCAAACTTAGGTGCAGATGACGAATGGCAATATACAGATGTGGTTGTTCTCCAGCTGTACTCACTTCCAGACAAGGAGCTTCTTGAAGTCTTCTCACAAACAGTTGTATCCTGCATCCGGCTAGATGAATTCACTGTTACCAATGTCAAAAACATTGCCAGTGTTGTAGTGATGATCCCACACAAGCCTACACTACCATCAGGAGTTACAGAAGATCAGTTTTTCATGCTAGAAAAACCTGGGTTGGATATTTTGACACTTGAAGTATGTGATAATGACAATGAGGAGGACCAGGAGGATGTAGGTGGTGTAGATGTTGAGTAGTCTCATTTTTTGTATTCCATATATATGGAGTGCTATGGACTTTGACAATTTGACAATTTGCTAGAAAAGTCTGGCAGAGTTGTGATATGATTTCATAGAAGGGTTTGCCTTTCTCTCTAACCATGTTAACCTGTCTAGCATGTTCGAAGGCAGCACTCTGTTTTCCAATGGCAGGCAATCTAACTATCCACCAGGCAGCTCAGGCCAACATTGCTTGCAAAATCCACATTGGGGAGGTGATTATGGCCTTTCCCCCCTATCACCTGTATCTGGCTCTATTATGTCGTTACCCAAGGACCCTCAGCCAAACTTTGTAAGCTCATTTTGATTGCTTTTTTCACACTTCATGTTTTTAGGGTACATATATGCATGAAAACCAACAATTACAGGCTTTGTGGGAATATTGCAAGTCACTTGAGCTTCAGCTGGTCAAGGTCATCACTGAATGTGACACTGTGATGTAATTGCACTTGAACAGTCTACCAATTAACTGAGTAAATGTTGTTTGGCAGGGCGAACTTCAAGCAGCTTGCAAGTGCTGTACAGCTTCACAATAAGGATCCACTTGCTGCCAGTCCAGCGCTCCTATGCCCATCTGCCAATGATTCTAACTGTCTGAACTGCAAGACACACCCAAACATTAAATTTTGGACCAAGGCCGGCTTCCTCAAATGGCTCAATTCAGCTGGAGGTGATGGTCACAATTGTGGAAAACTGCCCTTTCTCAAGGATGAGCATGGTGAATCGATCATAGAGTCAATAATTGAAGCCATCCGAAAGGCATTGCAAGCAATGTGGACAGAACTTGCAATCTGTGGACTGACGCCATTGTCTTGGGGTAGAATGACAGCATCAGCTGCTGAGCTGACAAACACGATTATGGAAAAGGCCTTTCCTCTATTCTGACTTGCTGACAATGGTTGGAAGCTTGACTACCTCACCACAGCGTCCTATGCTTCTTGGCACAGGAACAACCTTGATGAGTCTGGCAACTATCGAAAGGGAAGCAGCAGTGACAGTGACAAGAAATCCTCAAGTTTGAAAGGTAAACAAAAACTTGAGTTCAAATCTGAAGTCCCTGAATGGACTGAAAAAAAATTAAAGGTTTGATTTTGTTTAGTTGTTTCTCACTATTGATAATTCCATTATAGTTGATTTGATTGGCTTGGAGAGTGTGCAGCTACCAACACCCCTGCCTTCATCCAAGTCCACTCCCACACAGTCTTCTCTGCAACTCCAAGCCCTTGTGCCAGCTCTGCCAGATGCACCACTAACAAACCCACAAGACCTGTACTACACACCCCTAGAATCTGAAACTCCAGCACTCCCCAACCCCTCTACCTGAGCTGCAGCACCTCCAGCAGCTGCCCAGCACCAGATACTTCCCTCTAACAGTCCCCTGAACCCATATGCACCAAAGGCTCAACCCACAGGGCCGAGAAGGAAGACTTACCTCTGCAGTCCAGTACTAGTAGCAGTGCTAGCAACTCACTGCAGCTTGAGATGAGCATCTGCTCTCTGAAACCTGTAAAAATTGTAGTTAATCCACTGTAAGTCACGCACATTCTGGCTGTTCAGTACTGATTTGAACCAAAATACTAGTGCCACACTTGCACAAGCTGCTGTGACTGCCAAGCTCATACCTTTGCTACCTTCTCCCATTCCTGCAGTTAATTCTTCACTCAATCTTGCACCTGAGAAAATAGACAATGACTCTGCCATTACCAAGGCATCGACTGTTATAAAAGCCAAGCCAGCCAAGGTGAAAAAGATGCATCCTGGCCCCAAGGAAAATGGATGGTAAGTGCACTGTTTACATTGTTTTTCATACTCATTTTTGATCATAGAAACTGTTACAGTCACATGTGCCCCTATTCATTTTCTTGATTATCTTCATTGTATTATGTCATGAGCTGCATAGTGCCGCTGCTAGACTTCTTCTGATATCTTGTATTACATCACAATCACCATTGCCATTGCTAGATGACTCATTCTTATCACTTATGCATCCTTTCTTATCTCTGACTCATCTTGACCTATGCCTGCCCTGAACTACCTATGGTTCACTATATATAGTTGACCATGTACTCAGTAGTTCTTCACTTTAATCTTACTAGGTTTTCATCTGAATCTTCTCTCACTTAGGACCTCCAATCCCAAGTCATTTGAACCAATATTCAAGTCAAAGACACTCTCTTTGCCTTGTCTTACGACCCTTGCATTTGCAAGGTCTTGACTATAACTTCAACTGTTGCTCTTATCAAGCTGCTGTTGTTATGACCATCCTAGTTTGTAACAGAAACTTGTGTGCGTTGCGTTGGCTCAAGCAAATCAACATGAACAGCACTACCAACAAATTTAGTGATTACTTCAACAAGCTGACACTGGCTCAAGTTAAGGTATGTTGTTGGGTGTTCTGTCACAAGCTTGTACTTATCTGCTCTCTAGAATTATAGCAATGAAGTTAATACCTTGGTGATTTTGCAGCCTCTTGTGCTTAATGCCATGTAACTGACTTTCTGTAGTTGAAGAACAGTATGTGGAGCAGGACTGCCATTTCTGAGGGCATGGTCTACTAGACCTGTGTTAAGGTCATACTCAAAGGGTAACTGGATCTGAAGGGCTTCAGCCTCAGCTTGTGCACTGTGCCCCTTACCCAAGTATTGCCCCTTATTTCAGGAAGGCAAGACTAGCGCATCTGGAAGGTTGGACGAGTGGCGTAACGGATCTGGATGACTTCTGGATGAGGGATAAGTATTGTAAGGCTAATCCGGACAAGTCCAGACTAGAAACTAACGGTAATGGACTGTCAGGGACAGAGGCTGATATGGGTAGACTATAGGAATCAATCCTAAGTCTTGGAGGGTTGATGAGAGTAGAGGTACTCAAGTCTGGAGGACAGGAATGAGTAGAACTAAGATGATATTTGAACTGAGGTACTACAGAAAGTTACAGGAGGTTATATACTATAGGTATCTAACAGAATGATCAATCAGCAGAGTCTGAGGCTATGTATGAAGCATGTGGATAGTCTATTGGTAAGTAGAAATGGATCACAAATCATGAAACGGAAATGAAACATAGGTAGCAGATAAGGGAGTAGGACAGATATACAGATAACCAAAATACCAGAGTTAGGGGGTTACCAAAAGGAGATGAGCGCTGGTTGTGGATTTGGATGAATTGTGGACCGGATGAGTGGAACAGATTGGATGATGAGATGTTGGAGGGAGATAAGATGTGGATAGGATTGGAGATAAGATGTGGATCTGAGATGAGATAAGGGTTGGATCTGAGATCTGGATATGCGGATATGACAACCTGTCATGCACTTTTCCACTGCTGTCTTCCCACTGGTTTCCCCTGCAGTCCTCAATGTCATGGTGCTTTCAATTGCTTCCTCTGCTGGTTTAGCATGTCCTCCTGCCATTCTATTCCCTGCTGGTTGTCTCTCAATTGGTCTCTTCAATCACAGTGCTGCTCCCTTCGATGCTGGTCTCATTGTTACCCTTTTTATGATGTTTTTGACTGCTTTTCAATGTGTTTTTGCACTTTTCTATACCCTATTCCTGTAGTGGCCACAAATAATACCAGTTATTGCACAACAACTTCAAGACATGTGTGATACTATTTGAGTATATATGCAAAGGTAGTGGAACTGCTGGCGGATGTGCTTAGGTGTGCTTGATGTGAAAGTACACACATGGAAACATATAGGACACTGCCCCATCTTATTAACACTGTCTGAGTATGGGGCGCTGTGGACTCATATGTGTTCTTATATGTGTCCTGCCTGAATGACACATCTCAACCTATTGAGGCTCATCCCAACATAACTGGGTTTCACTGGGGTTCAGGTAAGGATGCAATGGAATGATCGATAAAGTCATATGTGAGCTTTAATAAAGATTTAGACCAGTATAAGATGTTGGCCTCTCTGAATAGCTTCCATAGCTTGTCAATGAGCAAATACTGACCAACTTTATAAGGTCTAGCCTTCACAGTAGTTGGAAATACTTTTTTGAACAGACACTTGACCACAACCTTATGATGAGTGACTGATCCAAGACCAGTCCTGGAAGGAGCTGTGAGTGTGAGCCATCTGGTATTCACAGTCTTGAAGCCACCAATTCCAATGAAGCCTTCCATCAATGTATCGATAGTCAGCTGCCCAATGGATGATTCAGCCATGTCCACCAAAAATGAATGATGCTCTTTGTTTAGCAAGAGGTCAGTAATATCACAGGTAGGATCACTTGCACAACTGGAACCAGTCAAAATGGCAGCTATGAATGACAAATGGGAATATAGTCAGTTCATTGGCAAAATGGGCAGGAATGATAGAGATTGAAGGCATATGAGTGAAGGGAGAATTCAAGGTGTTTGATAGTGGTGGAGGATGGGGATTCCTTTTTGGAAAGCCAATGTTACAGGCATTCAAAGCAAGACATGAATATGAAATGGACACTATCAGTATTGAGGATCAGCACAAGGAAGTCACATTAAACAATCAAATCACAAACACATCAAATGAGGAGGAGAGTTTGACCCTAGACAATAAACAGTAGGAGAACGCAGTGGGGGGCTTGAAAATACCCCCCTTGAGGCAAGTCTTAACAAATCCTAGTGAGAGCGGAACACATGAGACTAATGGCAAAGTGGAACATACACAAACATCATGCTTGCCTTATGTTCCAATGGGGCAATGGAGACTGATGGGACATCAACAACAGTGTCAAGATAGGAAATGGGTGAAGAAACTGTGGCTAAGAGTGGAGAGTGGTAAACAAGCACAAGACAAGGTAGAACAGTTAACAAGGGATAGGGAACATACCACGGGAGAGAAAGAAACAACAAGGCAGAGTAATGTGGGGGTTATCACCACACATGAGGCCTTGAATGTGGTGGAACAGTTACTAGGAGATGTTACAAACTAGGATAGTCACAACATCAACAGCTCAATAAGAGTGATGGTTGAAATTGAATCAAGGCCTTACAAA